GATCAATGAGATAGTCAGAAAAAACAACAGAATTCAGCAATAAATTAGTCGGCAATATAACAAAGATATTACACCTTTATCTGTTTTTGTGAGGATAAAAAAATAGTCTCAAACTGAGTATGGTAATGACGTAACAGAATTATGAGCTGCTTCCTCTGCGTATAATTTGATAAGGCCCTGTTTTATTTCTCAAATGAACTTTTGCTCAATAAATATGGTGTTGAGAGATATGCAGCGTGCCCACCCGGTGCTTCTTTAAAAGACTTGGGTGTGCTGTACTATCCTACGCCGGTTTGCGAATTTTTAATATTAGCTTTCACAACTTGAGTAAAAAATGACAGGATTCGCATTGATGCATCAAAATATTTTACCTTTCATTTGCATTTGCTTAATTTATGAGATTAATAAAAGATTACTGTGGGTTTTGATGCAGTGCGATTTAATAATTATAACCAGAAAAGACTTCCTAAATATGGTAAATTAAAACCATTATGTAGCGCACTTAGAGGTATCTGCCATAGTAATATTTAAGATACTGGGCCTCAGGACTCCTGTGGTAGTTCATTTACTTAATTCCTCGAAAGGTGATTTTAGAGAATAAATAAATGTTTGGAAAATTTGAAAAAGCGTTTTGCGATGGTGAGGAGACAGATCGTAACCAATGCAAGGGGAGACTTCAGGAAATTGATTCCGATCATGAATTGACAGACTTTGATGCAACAATTTTTAGACAGTTTTACCGTTATCTAAATTAGAAACGGAATACACATTAGTTTCGACTAAATTGATAAGAGGCGAAAGCACCATGGACAACTTTTTGTCGTGTATAGCCTAAGATATCATTAAACAAGTCGTTTCCTTACAGCGACTGGGACTACAGTTTGTAGAAGTCAAGCAGTTGGGCCCCACAAGCTGCATGCGTCAAGAAATTAAAATGAAAGGTCGGAAAATGCATAAACTTGTTTTTCACCACTTCGGTTTATTTTGCAGAGAGCGCTGATTCCAAATTGGCTGTTGATGATGATAAACGCTTTTTTATGTTCCTGCTTCAAACAATCCACGTACTTTCAATGTCACACCCTTAGACACCACTTCATTAAGAGTAGACTACGCCAGCTTAGCTTGTGATGCACAGCATCCGCTGTTTTTCACTATAAAATTTTTCCCACCAAGGTCAAACAGTTACAGCTCAGATAGGTTCAAGTGGTGGAAGGCGATGCATCACGAGTGCTTGGGAGGATGTGCGTTCCCCTAATCCTAGCGAAGCATTCAACCAGTTGCCAAAACAATGAGTCTCTTCTTGCCAAGAAGAGCAAGTCCAAATTCTGACACCACAGCTAAGCTTCCTCGAGGGAGAAACTCCATACTGTTTAGTGTGATGAAAGGTTAAAGACATTTCCTTATCTTTATCCTTATCCTCTAAAAGCTGCAAAGATATCTCTACCATGTCCAATCAAATATCAGCTTCTCTTTCCATTGAGCAATTGTATCTTCTCATCCAGTTTTCCGATAGTCGTGAATTAAAGTAGAATAACAGTGGCCGGATTTTTCAATTTCGGAATTTAAGCTTTAGATAAATTATTTTAAGGGGTTCAGAATAGCAGGCCCCATTAACCGGCTCAAATGAGTATGAATGGGGGTGAGTCAATGCGCAGGCGCCTGGCCGCCTTAGAGCTGAGACTGCTTGAGCGTGAGAATGCATTTGAGTTAGTAATTTGATTCATGCGAACTTAGAGTTTCCAATTTACGCTGTGATTGAAGTGGCTATGGGTATAACACTTAATGAGCGATTAAATTAAAGCGTTAAATATCAATCCTAAAATACTAGAATGTTAGGATTTGTTCCTACACGTAGAGTGACATAGATGAATCTTATTGTGTTTTAACCAGGATTACACTAGATAGGCAATATTATGATGTCGAGGACGGACATTAATTTCACAAATAACATGCCTAATTTTTGAATTTTGATTCTGAATATGCAAGCAGCTTTGATTTTGTTTTATTTCAGGCATGCAGCTTAAACGTTCGTTTCTTCTGCCCATTAAAGCCTCATGTTTTGTTTCTCCAAGAGCGGATTTACAAATCCAAGTCTGGAGTTTTCCTATAAATCGCGAAGTTGCGCTGACTGCTCTGCTAAGGACAATAAACCCCTTAAAGCATGACATAACATGACTTACTTGACCCAGTGTTGAATATGACTCTGCCGAATTTATATGTAAATTAGCTTCACAAGTATGACAACAAATTGCGCATACATGCATAGTGCGAGGTTATCAGATTGTCTGCATCCACAATAATGAGGAATGAGACAACAGCTCGTAAATATTTTTCTGATCTTAACGTCCTTTTAAGAAGTTATGGAAAAGGGGTTGTTGTGCCTACCTCTGACCTGATTCTTGATAGCCTAAAATTCAATAAAATGTGCATTGGAAATGGGTAATGAGTGTATTTTCCATTGTTGCCTATCCTTAGGCATTAGTGGTTAGGAGTTGCTACTCCAATTTATTGTTAGCAACTTCACAAATTCGTAGGAAGCACGTAATTGACAACAAAATTCATTTTCGCCCCCACATTATTTGGAAGAGGGCCAGATTCTTAAACAATACATCGACACTGCATTTGGTGGCCTTCCTGCATGAGGATGAAACAATGCTTTCTTCCTCCCCAGTGCCGAACATAAGGTCATCCCTCGAGGTAGTTTTGTAACATTGTAAAATCTAGGTCATATATGTTCTGGTTAAAACGAGACACTTACTCCACTGACATGGTTTGGTTTTCCAGAAAAAAATACTACTTAATTGGCATCTCATTCAATAAATGGAGCCTTTTACCGTCAAAATTAGCACATAGAGCCGTTAGTTTGACCATACTATCAATGCTAGCAAAAATATTTCCACACGAGCAATCAGCATTAAAAAGTTTTAAATTTAATCATAGCTAGCAATGTGTCTGCTCGCAGTCCTTCATACTCCACATGATTGAACATAGAAGGTTTAATCTAGATGAAAATCATTAAATTTTACGTCACTAGGCCTAGGAAGATATGGACATACACGCAAACGTAATGCGTATGGATTGCTGCCCTTACTGTGATGGCGATAGCAACAGTTGAAAAGAGTTGCGAGATCCTCCTAGGATATAAAATATAGCATGCTCAACGAAATCTTAGTCTGAAGGAAACAAACTCACTGTTGACAAGTGACTGGCCATATCAGCTTTGTGATTTCTCTTTAATTATGGTGTCAAGTTCTTTAGGGCCTCAACTTTGTAGAAGAGATTGTAGCTAGTTTAACTCTGAGTGGCCTTCAAGACCAAATCAACTGTTCTTCCTCCGTCGTAAATAACTTAGGCGGCCTAGGGACTCTTTAAGTTTCTTGATATAGTTCAATGCAATAACTTATTACAGTTTGCGGAAATTTATGTATTTTGGACTATCATTTATGCACATGAACTAAAAAGCATGGAAATATGTGCTAATTCCCCGGGTGCAGGGCATAATTCCGTTAATTCTACCATTCTTCTAATGTGCATCACGATATGATGCCTGGCTGACTGCTCTAGGAATCAAAATTTCCTAAATTTTAAAGCAACTAATGGATTACTAGAGTGTCTTATATGTAATCCGAACAAGGTGATATATGCGACAGCAGCTTGTACCTCGAGTAGCAAATAGCGTACACTACTCAATTTCTTTGATGAGATATTCGACGAAGCCTTAGATACAATATCTTCGGAAAGATTCTATTCTCCTTAAATGATGGCGAATTACGCATTGATAACGACGGAAATAGTATGCTCGACTAAAGACTTAAGGCTCACTTAAAATAGATATTTAATCATATTTAATGCCAAATCATTTGCATTCAACACATTTGTGCTCTCTGTGAATGTGGATTTGAAGCATGAATCCTCTTAGTAATGCTGATTCGCAAAATCAAATAAGTGAAGCTTACTTTTCTGAAGTATAACAATGTCAATCCTATCTTTGCCTATTTCCAATAAAAGTTTACAACCTACTTTAAGTCCTCAACGCCGCCGATCACAGCAAACTGGCAAGTGGAAACTTGAATTCACTAGGAAGTATCGAATGCCTTTGATCGGATTCTCTGTTCCATTTACTGGGCTGATATACCGCATCACTTTTAATGCAACTATGTATTTATTTCCCACTACCTCAGCCTTGATCGTTTGCTGCTACACCGCCACAAAGTTGGTAGTTGGCAAGGGATTTACTTCTGTTTAGGCCAATAAATTTTGCTGTGGTTTTTTTAAATACGCTTTGAACCTACTATCTTACTTTAAAATCCCTCGCCTTTCAAATTTCATTCCTTTTGCACAAAGTACACTAAACGCAGTAATTGTAAGTAAAACATAGTTGTGTGAAATATCGCTGATGGAAGGAAGGCCAGTAAATCATTGCCTCATGAAGCCGGTAAAAGGAGGCGAGTTTAAAGGACGTCTGTACGTTTCACTGGGCGAACAGCAGCTAATTGTTAGGACGGTCTTTTTAGTTCTTAAAACTTTTTTGTTATCACTTAACCTTGTAATTAAAATATTCCTCTTTTTATATGCAGGCACATAATACCTGGTCTCTTAGCAAACGATTTATTTATGAGCGCTATATCACGGTAAAAAGTGGTTGTAATAGAAAATATAGACCCGTTACTTCTAATCTTTACATAATTTAATTTATTTATGATTAGAGAAAATTCTTAAACCTGTTAAAGGCAACTTTTCCTCAATCTTGCCACTAACTTTGCCTTTATATTTGATAGGAAGCAGAATAGGTTTTACATGGCTGTATATAGGATTTATTAGTAGCTAGGTGTTGCTTCAAACCACAAATGGGTATTGACAAAAGGAGTAGTATTAAAATGCTTGATTAAATTTAACTTAAAATAGACAAGAGGTGAAGTAATGATACTTTGACGAAATCTTCCGCAAGTCGCGTAAATTATAACCAAAAATTACAGCCCTTCTCAGTTAGGATTAAATGC